CAACGTGTGTGTATGAGTGCAGTGTGTGTGCATAAATGCAGTGTGTGTATGAGTGCAGTGTGTGTATAAATGTAGTGTGTGTATGAATGTGCAGTGTGTGTGTATGAGTGCAGTGTGTGTATAAATGCAGTGTTTGTGTGAGTGTGCAGTGTGTGTGTATGAATGCAGTGTGTGTATATGAGTGCAGTGTGTGTGTGTGTGAGATGCAGTGTGTGTGTGAGATGCAGTGTGTGTTTGTGTTGCAGAGCCTTGGTGGGGGGTGGGCATTTTTATTTAAAAAAAAATATTATTATTTTAATTTTTTTTGTTATATTATTATTTTTTTAATTATTTTTTTATTATTATTTATATTATTTATATTTATATATTATTAATTTATTTATTTTTCGTCCCCCCTCCTTGCTTGATACATGGCAGGGAGGGGGGCTCTCCTTCCCTGGTGGTCCAGTGGCATTGGCAGTTCAGTGGGGGGAGGAGGGGGCTGGCAGAGCTGTTACTTACCTCTCCTGCAGTTCCTGTCAGCTCTCTCCTCCTCCGCGCCGGTCCATGCAGCTCTTCTGTCAGCTCACACTGTAAGTCTCGCGAGAGCCACACTATGACCCCGCGGCTCTCGCGAGACTTACACTGGGAGCTGACCGAGGTGCTGACCGGACCGGCGTGGAGGAGGAGAGAGCTGACAGGAGCTGCAGGAGAGGTAAGTGACAGCTCTGCCAGCCCCCAGTCTGTATTATGGCAATGTAAATTGCCATAATACAGACAGTGACTCGAGTATAAGCCGAGTTGGGGTTTGCTGAAAAACTCGGCTTATACTCGAGTATATACGGTAATACACTTTCTCTAATGTTCTCCCCTCTATTTTTCACTTTAAAACTAACTTCTCTCATTACTAAAATATCCCTATCCTTTTGCTTACCTGTCCCTGGCAACACCATCTTCATTACTTCCACCTTACTACCCTCCCCTCTCTATTCATCCCATGCACTCTACACATACCTTTCCAGCCTATCTCCACCAACTCCTCCCAAATCCTCTACATATGTACCCTCCTACAAAACTTTCAAATCCTACTCCCACCTTCACTTCCTTTCTATCCTTCTGCTCCTAGCAGCTGGTGATGTCTCTCGAAAACCCCGGTCCCATCTCAGCAAACTCACCACATACTAACCAAGTGATCCATATTAATCTCATACCCATCTCATGTTCCTTTAAATCCTCCTTCAATACTGCCCTCTGGAATGCACGCTCTGTTTGCAATATTACTAAATCCACTGCGGTCCATGACTTCTGCATCTCTCGTTCAATAGATTTACTAGCCTTAACAGAAACCTGGCTCTCCCGCTCTGACACTGCTACCCCTGCATCTTTGTCCTTCGGTGGTCTTCAACTTACCCACAACCCGAGAAACTCTGAATGTAAAGGTGGTGGTGTAGGGTTTCTCCTCTACCCTCACTGCTCCTTTAAACCTCGACCCACCCCCCTCCTTCCCTCTCTTTCCCATCATTCGAAATACATTCAATTTGCACCAAACCCTTCTCTGCTAACATTGCTGTTGTTTATCGTCCCCCTGGCTCCCCTGTTCTCTTCCTTGACCACTTTGCTGCCTGGCTACCCTATTTCCTGTCTTCTTATATTCCATCCCAATATTCCTATTAATCCACCTTTGACCTCTGCAGCCTCTAAACTATTCTCAATTACTTCCTCCCTCGGACTATCACAGTGGGCTAATTCTCGCACCCATTTAGCTGGCAATACCCTTGACCTAATCTTTTCTTATGCAAGTACAGTATCTAATATCTGCAACACTCCATTTCCTCTCTCTGATCACCACCTCTTATCGCTTGCTCTCGTGTACCCCCTCACCCAACAGCCTCAGCCTAACCCCCCTCAACTCAGGAGGGACCTTAATTCTCTTGATCTCTAGCAGTTGTCAGCTGATATTGATTCACAACTGCTGTCCATCCCTTCCCTCTCCTGTCTTTCACTGGCCATCTCCGCATATAACACTACCCTCACCTTTGCCTTGAACGCTGCAGCACCGCTCCAAACCAGCACCTCGAGGAGGACCCGCCCCCAACCGTGGCATACTAAATCAACATGCTACCTGTAAAGATGCTCCCGTTGTGCTGCATACTCCTGGAGGAAGTCTCGCACCCAGTCAGACTTTCTCCATTATAGATTCATATTGTGTTCATACAGCGCAGCCCTTGCCAAACAGTCCTACTTTTCCTCTCTCATTAGTTCATGCTCCCGCAATCCCAGGCGTCTCTTTGACACCTTTAATTTTCTTCTTTGCCCTGCTGTGGCCACCCCCCAAACTAACCTTACTGCTGACAACTTTGCATGTTACTTTACTGACAAGATAGAACAGCTAAGGAAAGAATTCTCCCCTCCTTGACATTCTGTTTCTCAACCACACGTAGATCATGCCTTTCCTACCCTTCAGACATTCTCCCCGGCTACTGACCAATAGGCGGCTGCTCTTCTCTTTTCCTCTCGCCCCACCACTTGCCCGCTCGATCCTCACCTTATTAGATCTCTCTCCACTTGTCTCGTGCCTTCTTTAATGCACATCTTCAACTGCTCTCTCTCTTCTGGCATTGTCCCTGCTGACCTTAAACATGCCACTGTAGTACCTATACTAAAAAAAACATGCCTCGACCCGTCCACCCCCCTCAAACTATCGTCCCATATCCCTGCTCCCTTTTTCCTCAAAGCTTCTGGAAAGACTGGTCTTTATCCGTGTGTCTCATTTCCTCAATTGCAACTCTCTCCTTGACCCTCTTCTATCTGGTTTCTGCCCTCTCCACTCTTTTGAGACTGTGCTTATCAAAGTTACTAACGACCTAATCACAGCTAAATCCAAAGGCCACTACTCCATACTTATTCTTCTTGACCTCTCTGCGGCCTTTGACACCGTTGATCATGCTCTCCTTCTGCAAACTCTTCAATCGCTTGGTCTCTGTGACTCTGTCCTCTCGTGGTTTTCCTCTTATATCTCCCAACGCTCATTGAGTGTCTCCTTTTCTAATGATACCTCCTCCCCTCGTCCTGTCTCAGTTGGAGTCCCCCAAGGCTCTGTCCTTGGTCCCCTTCTATTTTCTCTTTATACTGCCTCTCTTGGCAAACTTATTACCTCTTTTGGATTCCACTACCACCTGTACGCTGATGACACCCTGTTATATCTTTCCTCCCCGGACCTCTCCTCTGCCGTCCTGCAACATGTCACTGCTTGCCTTTCTTCCATCTCTGACTGGATATCCTCCCGCTTTCTGAAACTCAATCTCTCTAAAACTGAGCTCCTTGTCTTTCCTCCTCCTAATACTGATCCTCCTCTTTCACTCTCCCTTCAAGTTTGTGGTACCCATATCAGTCCATCCTTGCAAGCGCGCTGTCTTGGCGTCATACTTGATTCTGGCCTCACCTTTGAACCTCACATCCAGCATGTTGCCAAATCCTGTAGATTCCATCTTAGAAACATAGCCCGCATCCGCCCCTTTCTTGCACCAGATACTACCAAGGAGCTTGTCCATGCTCTAGTAATTTCCCGCATGGATTATTGTAACCCTCTCCTGGTTGGTCTTCCCAAAAGCCGTACTGCACCACTACAGTCCATAATGAATGCTGCTGCCAGACTGATTTTTCTCTCTAGTCGATTCTCTCACACCTAACCCCTCTGCCAGTCCTTACATTGGCTTCCTGTATGCTATAGGAGTCAATTCAAGGTATTAACTCACACCTATAAAGCACTGAACAACTCTAGCCCCTCATATCTCCTCACAGATCCATAGGTATGTCCTTTATCGGTCTCTCGCTCTGCCCGTGACCACCTCCTGTCCTTTGTCCGCACCCATATGGCTAACTCACGCTTGCAGGACTTCTCGCGGGCGGCTCCCTTCCTATGGAATAGCCTGCCTACCGCCATCCGACTCTCCTCTATTCTTGCATCTTTTAAGAAGTGCCTTAAAACCCATCTCTTTAGGAAAGCTTATGGCCTCCAAGACTAACCTCTACCTCACATACCTGTCTCTTGCTCTCTCCTAAAGGGCAGCCCATCTTATTTGACTGCAAATTCCTGTCCTAATGTGTTTTACACGCCAACTCCTATACAATGTAAGCTCGATTGAGCAAGGTCCTCTTCAACCTATTGTTCCCGTAAGTTTTTTGTAATTGTCCTATTTATAGTTAAATCCCCCTCTCACAATATTGTAAAGCGCTACGGAATCTGTTGGCGCTATATAAATGGCTATAATAATAATAAAATTAATAATAATACAGGCCTCTCATCATGTCACATTACATCACATTATTTTAACTTGTGTAATTGTCAAAAATTACCATGTCTCAAGACCTGTTTTGTTAATAGTTCATTGCCTAAATTTGAACTTAGCAAAAGAAGCAAAAAGGTCAGGAAGAGTTGCAGTTTGGCAAGTTCCTTATTTTGAAAGTATTAATATTCTGAAGGAAACATCTGTTAAAATCAGATTTACTCAAAAGAGTATACAAATGTTTTCCATATAAATTTCTCTTTTAAGTAGTTATGAGCAGTAAATCTCATGATGAAAAGTTAATACATAATGGCTGATTGGTTAAGTAATTTTATCTTATCAAGCACCAACTGAATCTCCTAGTCTTATTTATTGGTTCCTTTGAGAGGAGAGGCTGAACTCTCATGGAGAAACCCATGTTAAAGATATTAGGTGAAACTATGAAAGAAAACACTATCTAAGAGAGGTAAGACATCCTTAGCCTTTCAGTTAGGACAAGAAACAAACTGAGGACCTCAGGAGGAGAGGACTTTTATCTCCTAGTTCTAATCATTTACTCATTCCTGTCCTAACAGCTAAGTTGTATTCTTTTGTTTCCTCTCATTCAAAAATTCATAAAAATGTAGCTTATTCCAAACTGAATCTATATAGTATAATACACAACATTGTGGTCGTCGCATCATATACATTAATAAAGTGATTAAAACAATTAAGATAATGGTTTATTAATGTAAGCTCCAACAGTAACAATTACTTCAGTGTTCCGTAAGCTGTAGATGATTGGGTTTACCATTGGTATTACCATTGTATAGAAAACAGAGACCACCTTGTTTTGCGAATCAGAATGACTGGAGGCTGGAGAAAGGTATATGAAGAAAACTGTCCCATAAAACAAGAAAACACACGAAAGGTGGGAAGTGCAAGTCAAAAAAGCTTTTCGTCTGCCTTCCATGGATTGAATCTTGATAATTGTAAAAGCAATGTAGGTATAGGAAGCCAAGATAATCATAATTGAAACAAACCCTAGGACTAAATCAACAACAAAAATAATGGTCTTGTTGATATATGGATCTGAACAAGCGAGATCCATTAGAGGAGGGGTATCACAATAAAAGTGTTTGATTATATTAGGTCCACAGTAATGCAAAGTTATAGTAGTAGAGGTGTGAATTGCTGCAGTGAGAAATCCAGCAGCATATATAGCAGTAACAAGAAATATACACATAGACTTGTTCATTATTATTATATACAGAAGAGGATGACATATGGCTACATAGCGATCATATGCCATTGCCGACAATATGTAAACTTCAGTGCAAGCAAATAATACAAAAAAATAGAGTTGAAGTGCACATCCAATAAAAGAGATTGATTTTTTCTGCAAAAACATATCATGCAGCAATTTTGGGGTAACAACAGTAGAATAACAGAGATCACAGGCAGACAAGTTACTAAGAAAGAAATACATTGGGCTTTGCAAGTCAGAAATTACCATGATTATAACCATGGTGCCGATATTGCCAAAAGCAGTAACAATATATATCAATGAGAAGAAAATGAAAAGGAATATTTGCAAGTTTGGATCGTTGGTAATACCTAAAAAGATAAACTCGCTTACAGTAGTCTGGTTTCCTTCTTCCATATGTTCAAGGTATTTGAAAATAATAAATGCAACAACATCTACAAAAAAACAAAAAACAGATTAATAAAACAACAAATTTCAATATTTATCAAATAATATGACTATATAGTGGTAACTTTTACACCAGTAAACTTAGTTTCTCTTTGTATCAGTCAAATCAGAAAGTGCACCATACACATATATAAAATAAATCCATATTGCTTATTTAAAGAGACAGTTTAAATACCAAAACCACTACACCTCAATATAAATGTCAGAGAACATACCTCTGATGGCTTTCAGACTGATAGGCATTAGAGTATCTCCCTCTTTTTTTTTTATGGTCTTCATTGTCGGCATAATCACACACAGCATGATGACACTGAGGGCGTTGGATTCAATATATCTCCATGAGAAGTACCAGATTTGCAGGGCGCAGTGATTGTTGAGCACGTGCACTATGTCGCCCACTGCTTCTTATTTTTTTAAGTTTGATGGGAAGCCCTGAATTTAAAACCACTAAAGCAACACTTTAACATTAAAAAAAATATGTGTAACATTTCCTTTAAAATGTTGTTGATTAAACTGTCCCTTTTTAGAATTATTGCTTTGAATATTTCTAGCACATTAAATAATATCGTATCGAAGAGATTGTTTTTACATGGCACAGTCCGCAGATCAATCATCTCAGATGCATACCAGTCATTTTTAAAAAGGCATTTTGTACATTGGTAATATTTTTGTCAAGTTTTACACTGTACCATAACGTATCACAAATATCTGGCTAAACATGTGGCTGCCTCCCAGATCATACGACCCATTGGGTTCTGAACTTTTTCCATTAGAACCAAAATTATGTACATAGCATAAGCATAAGCATTTTTTTTTAAATTGTTCAGTTATCCATTCTTTGAGTTTAATTTAATATATAAAATGTAGATCCCTAAAAAAGGTATGTGTGAGGAAGATCAGGTAGTAAATGACTGAAATAAAATTACTTTAGTACTTTAAGTAAAAAGACAAGACTTTGTTGATGAGTAAAAAATAGAGAAATAAAGTGGTACAAAATTACCCCAAATGAAACTATAAACTGCTTTGTGGAAGACTGAAAGCTGTGTATAAGTAAATTAGCAGAAGCCAAAAAAGTGTAAAGCACTTGAGAATACCAAAATGATAAACAGTGCACAAATCCACACAATTACAGCAGCACTCAACAAACATGACACACAAAGTTAGTATACTAATAAATAGCGTGCTTAAATTGTATTAAACATGGAATCTTCAAATGTTGTTCTGTAAATAATAAAATACACATATATAGTGCTGACCGCATTAAAAAAAGGTTAAAAACTGTTACTTAAATCTTGGTGGGTATTGCCAGTAAGGTACCCACAGAGCATGCATAAGAAGCGGATGCCAATGTTCAGAGATCACTTCCATGTTCCACCTTTATTATAAGACCCATTGGGTTCTAAATTGTTTCTTACTAGAACCAAAATTATGTACATAGTATAAACTTAGTGACCATTCTTCACTTGTAAAATTTTGTTCAGTTATCCATTGTGTGGAACGTCAGGTAGTAAATGACTGAACTAAAAACACTATATTAGTACTTAATTTAAAAAGACAAGGTATTGCCAGCAAGGTACCCGCAAGGCAGAACTCGGATGTGATCTCTGAACATTGGCATCCACTTCCTTTGTTCTGTTGTGGGTACCATCTGACGACCCCCACCAAGATTTAAAATTTGAAGATTCTATGTTTTACACAGTTTGAGCATGCTGTTTATTGGTATTCTAAATAAGTAAATTAATAAATCTATTTTACTTCACACTAGCTGAACATTTCCTTGTTAGAATTTTGAGACACACACACACATATATACATATATATATATATATATATATATATATATATATATATATATTGCAGATTGGATTAGCCGTTTTAGTCCTATAGACAGCATGCCAAAATACCAGTATGTCTTATTGGACTAATACGTAAAGACAAGCTTTCAATAGTTTTTCTTTTTTTTTCTCAAGTCTGAAGCAATACTAATCAATCTGAGTTTAACACTTAAAACAACTGATGTTGTTATATAAATACTGTGGGAAATCCTTGCACTCAGGCTATGAGTATATATACTTGCCGGGTGCTCAGCCTGGGACTTTAATATCCAAATAGTAGTAGAGATGGCTGCACTCACAGTCTCCAATAAAATTCTTCTTTATTTAGCAATATTAAAACATGGGATCAACGTTTCAGTCCCTATATGAGACTTTCTTCAAGATCAATACCTAGGTATATGTATTGATCCTGAAGAAAGTCCCATATAGGGACTGAAACGCTGATCCCATGTTTTAATCTTGCTAAATAAAGAAGAATTTTATTGGAGACGGTGAGTGCGGCCATCTCTACTATATATATATATATATCGAAACGTTGATCCTGTTTTTGTTTAATACACTTTGATTTTGTTTTGGAAAAATACATTGAGTGCTTTCATTTGGTTATGCTATATATTCCTGTGCAGTGCAGCACTGTGGTTATTTAATATTTTTGCAATGTTAAAGTTGAGTGCCAGACTATCCTATAATATTTACACACACATACATTTAACATTGCAATAAAGTGTGTTCTTACCTCATGTCTCTTACACCTCGTTCTGTCTGAATCAGCTTCTAATTGTTAATTTATAGCATTTGCTAATTCCTAATGGTGTATTGTGAATGCACCTGTGCTCTGTTTTCTACATTTGTTTTATTTATTTATTCCAAAAGACTAAGTCTATTAAGTGATTTGTAAAGTAGTGTCTATGTGTAAATTGCATATTTTTAAGGACTAAAATATCTTGTCCCACTACAAATTCATTTTTCGTTGGTATCTCACCCCTCTAGATTACATACATTTAAATGAACTAATTCAGATAAATGTTGGAGAGGGTGTGGACAAGTGGGCTCATTGGGTCACATGTGTCAAGCTAACCCATGACATTTTTTAATTGCAGCAACTACAACCATAACCAGAAACAACCATAGCTAGTGACTTGCCAGATGTTAGAGATATTTTATACTCCATTCTAGATAATAAACATCACAAATTAATCTACCACTCATACTTGAAAAATAATATTATATTAAGACAAGAATGGAATGAATTGGAAGAAATGTCCGAAGGAAATACAATTTAGTAATATGATACGCAGTTAACCAAACTATGTAAATATATCCTGTTAATATTGCAACTTTCTGTCATTTTGAAAATAGTATATATTAAATAACTAAAAATTATTTTTAAAGGATGATTTTACATGTAAAATTATTTTATTGATTAATTTCTTTTTCTTTTTATTATTTTTCCCTCATTTTTTCCCTTCATTTTTTAATTATTTTTTTAATTATTTTTTTTATTTATTTATTTTTAATTATTATTTCAATTTTATTTGTAATTTTTTTATTTTCATTGTATTGTTGGTAACTTTGTAGACTAATTGTTTTTAAAACTCATGTATTATCAATGTGTAGTGTCAAAATGCTTATTGTTATTACATTATAGGTATATATATTTTAAAAACTCAATAAAAATATTTGAAACAAAAATATCTTTGATGCATTTTCTTCTTTGATGGAGAAAAATCTAAAATCTTAGGCAGTATCCCATGCAGCAACACAACTACAACTTGAGCGTATTTGATAGCTGCTGAATCTCTTCAGTCATCTCCTTGCAACATTCAGCGGACATTGGTCAGCGCCACCGCCTCTGGATATCTAGTGGCGTAATCTACTACAGTCAAGATGTACTTCTTGCCTGAAGGGCTTGGTCTGGTTAACGGTCCTACTAAGTCTACAGCTACCCTGCTGAAAGGCTCCTCAATAATTGGCAGGGGGTGAAGTTTTGCTTTATGGCAGTCCCCTCTCTTACCCACCCTCTGACAGGTGTCACAAGTTTGGCAGTACTGCCTAATATCTTTCTCAATCCCTGGCCAAAAGAAAATTCTGTGTTAAACTGTATTTAGTCCAGCTGACTCCTAATTGGCCGGATAGCGGAATATCATGAGCTATCCGGAGTAACTCCTGCCTATATTTCTGGGGGACTACAAACTGTTTCATGGTGATCTGTATGGACCCCACCACTATCCTCTCAGAGTGCCTATAAAGTAATCCCTTGTCCCAGGCGTATCTCTCTGCCTCTAATCCTGCCTGACTAGCAGCAACTCTATCTTTGTATACTTGGAACGTGGGGTCCAAGGCTACCTCCTTCCCCATCTCTAGTGGGACATCCCAGGGTACACTATCTATGGGTGGGGACTGGTTGCTTACCTGAGCCTCAGAGTGCACTTGCTGTTCCATGGTGCAGGCCTGCTGTCGGGTGACCACAGGGTAAGCTTCTTGGGTGGCAGGTTGTGGTACAAAAGCGGATGTGAGCTTGCCCAAGTCATTCCTGAGCAGTACATCGGCAGGTAAAATCTGCATTAACCCCACTTCCATGTCTCCTGATGCCACACCCCAATTCAGATGAACCCTGGCAGTGGGTACACAATATACTGCTCCCCCTGCTACCCGCATTGCCACGGAGCAGTGCCGTATCTGGGATCAAATGGGGTTTGACTAGAGTTAACGTGGCCCCAGTGTCTCGGAGCCCTTGCACGTTCTTCCCCTCCGGGCATACTGTTTGCTGGTGATGTGATCAGTGGTCCGATGCAGCTTGGATGGGCCTCATGTAATACACCCAGTTGTTCTTCATTGTGGCTAGGAGTGTCATCTCAGGTACTGGTCTCGGTTTGGTAACAGTGGACCGTGGCTCTGTTGGTTGGTGGTGGACCCGGGCGAATCCATGCGTTGCGGTTCCAGTTCTGAGGACATTCCCTCTGCACGTGTCCCAGCTGTTGGCATAAGTGACACCGTATGTTGGTGCATTGTTGGAACCTGGGAATATAGGGGTTATCTCCTTGCTGTTGTGGAGTTGGGGCAAGGGGTGCTGGAGTCGGCACAGCTGGTCTCGAGAATAAGCGTGTGGTGGTCGGTGGTGGTGCTCATGTTCATCGGCCAGCCTAG